GAGAGAGAGAGAGAGAGAGAGAGAGAGAGAGAGAGAGAGAGAGAGAGAGAGAGAGAGAGAGAGAGAGAGAGATCCTCCATCCTTCCTGTTTGGTGATGGTGTTGACCATGATGCAGGCAGCAATGGCAGGGCTGTCTTCATCCCAGAAGCCCATCAGTAGGCCAGGGCTGATGTGATTTTCCACACACACACACACACAGACAGACAGAGACACACACACACACACACACACACACACACAGAGAGAGAGAGAGAGAGAGAGAGAGAGAGAGAGAGAGAGAGAGAGAGAGAGAGAGAGAGAGAGAGAGAGAGAGAGAGGGGTCGCTCTCTCCTCCTTTCCCCTCCTCTTCTGTTCTGTTTTGATCTTCTCTCTCCGTTACCCTCCTTTCTCAATCTCCTCCTCCTCTCTCTACTACGTTCTCCTCCTCTGCCTTCTTCATCTACTGTCTTGAAAGTCGCCTCCTCTATCTCCCTTCGTGCCACGTCCAGCAACTCCAACTCCTCCTCCTCCTCCTCCTCCTCCTCCTCCTGGTGCTTACTGTATGTTCTATACTAGAAAGCGAACGATGTGCTCCACAGACCTTTCAATATGACCGTCGGTTACCTTAGGGCATAATCGCGTACCCTAGGATTTAAAAAAACTGTATCCAGTCATAATTTGAGACGAGATTCACTCAATCCAGTAGTCCTACCTAGTGTGAAACGGTATTTATGCCGTTATCCTCTTTCTCACACCCAACCCGGATTCCAGTTCTTTCGTTTTTTTTTTTGGTTTTGTTTTTTTTTCTTTTTTTCTTTTTTTCTTTTTTTCTTTTTTTCTTTTTTTCTTTTTTTCTTTTTTTCTTTTTTTGTTTTTTTGTTTTTTTGTTTTTTGTTTCGTTTCCGACCGACGGAAGTCCTTGAGCTTTCGATGAATGTCGAATGTTTTTTTTTTAATTATTATTATTATTATTTTAAAGAGGCTCCAGCTAATTCATGGATGAATGTCGAATCTCATCTATCGAACAAACCAAATCCCAGCCATGTAGGCAATCAGTCGAATAACTTCAATAAAATTCAACCAAATCAAATCCAATCAATCCAATCCGATCGGAACTACTTAATGGACTCATTATGCGAATTCATCCGATGGATCGGTGTATCAGTTTGTATCGATGGGAATTGATTATCCCTGTTTTCTTTTCTTTTTCTTTTAATGCAAAAATTCATCATCCGGATGGAATAGATTGCCCTAATCCGATCATCCTACTTATCTAGTCCATTCGGTGAACCCCCTTTCAACTTATTCTCCATCCATCCATCTCATCCGTTTGATCCATCCATCTTATCCATCCATCCATCCATCCATCCACCCACCGATCCATCCATCCGTCCATCCATCCATCCACCCACCCATCCATCCATCCATCCATCCATCCACCCATCCATCCACCCACCCACCCACCCACCCACCCACCCATCCATCCATTCACCCCCCATTCGTCCATCTCAACCATTTATTCGTCCCATCAGCTGTTACCGTTCATCCGATCCATTGCATCCATCCATCCATCCATCCATCCATCCATCCATCCATCGCAGCCAGCTATCTTACCCATCAATCCATCTCAGGCAGCCATCTTACCATCAATCCATGTCATGCTACCATCCTCTCCATCCTTCTCTCTATCCATCCACTCATCCACCTTTGATTGATCCATCCATCCGTGGCATCCCATCCATTCATCCATCCATGGCGTCCCATCTATCCATCCATCCATCCATCCATCCGTGCATTCACATCTCCGTCCGTTGATTCTTTCCGATCCATCATTACTCCATCCATCCGTTCGTCCATCCGCTCAACCATTCACCCATCTATCCATCCATTGCACCCCGTTCACTTTGTGATAATTGGATTATCTTTCTTTCCCTATCTTTCTTTCCCTGTCAGGTTTGGTTTCCTCCTCCTTTTCCTTACTTACCTCTTTGCCTTTTGGCTGCGTGCAAGTGGGTCCTTGTGACACACGGGGATGGGGGCAGCCAGCGCTCAACCTGTCATCCATGTGGCTGGCCTTGTACGTAAGAGGTGATGAACAGTTGGGGATTTCCTTCCTTTCTTCTTTTCCTTTCCTTGTTTTGCTTTTGTTCGCCTTCGCGCTCTGATTTACAGTGTGACAATATATATATATATATTTGTGACGATATATATATATATACATATCCACGTGGCTGGCCTTGTACGTAAGAGGTTATGGACAGGTGGAGCTTTCCTTACCTCTTCCCCTTCCCCTTTTTTCCTTTTCCTTTTTTCTTTCCCCCTTTTTTTCGCTTCTGCGCTCTGATTCACAATGTGACAATATATATGTCATTGCCCTATTTTCTGTTATCGTCGGTCATCACTGGAAAGGAGAAGAAGAAGAAGAAGAAGAAGAAGAAGAAGAAGAAGAAGCAGAAGAAGAAAACGAAGAAAAGGATGAAGATGAAGAAGAAGAAGAAGAAGACGAAGAAGACGACGACGACGACGAAGAAGAAGAGTGAAAAACAGTGGCCATAGACTGCTTCTCGCACACGCATAGACAAGATATTTCAAACTTCTCCGCATGTACAGTTCTCAGTTGCAAACGCGCAAATTTCCCGACGCGTTTCGCCCAGGCTGCGCTCCTGGCACTCACTCCTCAGGGGTCTTCTCCCCAGATCCGCCTTACGGCACCACCCAACATTCCGACCAGTCTGAGAAGAAGAAGAAGAAGAAGAAGAAGAAGAAGAAGAAGAAGAAGAAGAAGAAGAAAACGAAGAGAAGGAAAAGGAAGAAGAAGAAGAAGAAGAAGAAGAAGAAGAAGAAGAAGAAGAATGTAGAAGAAGAAGAAGAAGGGAAGGAAGAAGAAGAAGAAGAAAAAAAAGAACAAAAAAAGAACAAATTGCCGAAGAAAAGAAAAAAAGATAGGGTGTGTTATTTGCTTTGTTTGACTGATAGGCCTTCCTCTTCCCTTATTCTTTCTTTGACTGCATCCCTTTTTTTTTCTCTTGCCTCTGTGAGGTTTGGTTTCCTCCTTTTGTTTACCTCTTTGCCTTTTGGCTGCGTGCAAGTGGGTCATTGTGACACACGGGGATGGGGGGCAGCCGGCGCTCAACCTGTCATCCACGTGGCCGGCCTTGTTCGTAAGAGGTGATGAACAGGCGGAGCTTTCCTTCCGTAAAATTACAAAATTGCACCCTTGTTGGGGATACAAGTTTGTCACAGATGCGAATAGTGCTGGCTGCCTGAGGGTCTGGGTGCAATGCACACACATTGGGAGAATGCAACACATGGTGCAGCTTAGTGGCCTTCAGAATCACGAAAAAACAACAACAAAAAAGTAAAAAAAAAAAAAATTGCCTCAATTAGATCAATTTACATATTTCACAATCACGAAAAACAACAACAAAAAAGTAATAAAAAAAAAAAAGCCTCAATTAGATCAATTTACATATTTTATGCAATTCCTTTGGTTATGTGTATTTTATTTGAGTTTTTATGTGTTATTATGTAATGATGGATTACCGAAAATAAGTCGAATTCTCAAATAATTATTACAAAAAAAATTCAAAACTCAAAAATTGAGTAGTCCTGATATAATTTCCGAAGGTGTCACAGGAATGGGCGGGCGGTATATCGCTGTCGGACATGTTGAAATCGCCGAATAAGGCATTCAAGTTCACGGACGTCTGCAGTCATGTCAGCATTAGAAACATTTATATACAGCCATTGCAGCAACCGAGCACGCCAAGCAGGCGAAGACACATTTATATACAGCCATTGCAGCAAGCGAGCATGCCAAGGAGGCGTAGCCCGGTGAATGGAAGCAGCAACTTCGGAGCAAGTACCCGCTGCGCCTAACGACAGTGAATGTCGTAATGTTGTTCATACTGCAAGTTGAGGGCCCGGGCCAATATCAATTGTCAGCATTAGAAACATTTATATACAGCCATTGCAGCAACCGAGCACGCCAAGCAGGCGTAGACACATTTATATACAGCCATTGCAGCAAGCGAGCACGGCAAGCAGGTGTAGCCCGCTGAATGAAAGCAGCAACTTCGGACCAAGTACCCACTGCGCCTAGCGACAGTAAATGTCGTAATGTTGTTCATACTGCAAGTTGAGGGCCCGGGCCAATGTCAATTGTAAGGGCCCGAGAGGATACAACGGGTGGAGACAGGTGAGGAGCAGCAGTAGAGTGAGGAGGAGCAACAGAGGAAGGACTGACTTGCCATCAGCGATCGGGGCATGGCTGCCGTTGAGCAGGCGGTAATCAAGACATAGGCAGAACTGCATTGGAGCCCGAAGGGTGTAAGGTATGCAACCGTCGGACCGAGAAGCCTTCTTCTCTAGGTGAGGCCGCCTGCCGAAAAAGGGCATGATCAATCTCACCGCGATCATTAATGTAGAGCGCACGACCAATGCATTCAAGCGGCCAAACAGCAAAATTGAAAGGAGACTGTTGTCGCATAATGTGAAGGCAGAACTGCATTGAAGCCCGAAGGGTGTAAGGTACGCAGTCGTCGGACCCAGAAGCCTTCTTCTCTAGGTGAGGCCGCCCGCCGAAAAAGGGCATGATCAATCGCACCACGAACATTAGTGTAGACCGCACGATCAATGCATTCAAGCGGCCAAACAGCAAAATCAAAAGGAGACTGTTGTCGCATAACGCGATAAAGATGCCGATGACGATAATCGACAGCAGAAAGTCGCACATGCCAATGCTCCTTCGAACGTTGACGTGCAGTATGGATTGTCTGGCCAGCATACAGATGCCCAGAGGGTATATGCACAACAGCATAAACGACTCGAGTAACAGAAAGGGGATCATTACCTGGTTGGAGCAGCTGTTGGTCAATACCTCTCAGCTGTAATTCAAAGCGCTCAGTTGCGGTGGCAGTATCTAGCTGTCGCGGTTGCTTTTTATGCCACGCTCAAGCAGAATACAAATCAGTATTCCAGCGAAAATGGGCAAGCCAATCAACACGTTGCCGGTTAGAGAAGGGGAGATTACGAACTCTTGATCGAAGAAAGGGAAGCGGCGCTGTGCCTGTCGTGCCACCAACAGGAAGAATCCCGAATGAACAAACCCCCTGGTTTATCTGTAATGGTAACGACATATTATTGCCAAAAAGGGTTATGAAAGTTTTTTAATTTTTTGAATTTTGAATTTTGAATTTTATGTTTCATTTTGATTTTGTATGGTACGTTGGCCAGGAAAGCAGGACTTCAGGCCCGCTGGCTCAGGCCGGGAAACCTGAGATGTCCTTTCGGCATCCACAGAAAGGTGAGTGGGCATGGGGGCAGCAACCCGGGTTTGGCAGACCGCAGGCTGGCCGTAACTATACCCACTACACGGGAAGGGGGGACAACCCATGTCCTTGCGGTGACCGCCATCACAACAATCCTGGAGACCAAAAAGAAAAGAGAGAAATCACAGCACCATGTCCCTTGTCAGATCACACCCTAACAAGCGATAACAGAAAAGAGGGCAGTGGTACGGACACAACATCCAAATATAATCAAGCGTAACATCAACGTTTGAAGGAGCATTGGCATGTGCGACATTCTGCTGTCGATTATCATCATCGGCATCTCTATCGCGTTATGCGACAACAGTCTCCTTTCAATTTTGCTGTTTGGCCGCTGGAATGCATTGATCGTGCGCTCTACATTAATGATCACAGTGAGATTGATCATGCCCTTTTTCAGCGGGTGGCCTTACCTATATATATATACTCCGACGAAACAGTTTGTCACAGCCCCTCGTTTGTTGTCCTCTTCTCTCTCTCTGCCTACGGTTTACCGGGCAGTTCTGTTTGTGACGATATATATATATATATATATATTTGGCTGTGTGCAAGTGGGTCGATATGACAGACGGGGGTGGGGGCAGCCGCCGCTCAACCTACATCCACGTGGGCGGCCTTGTACGCAAGAGGTTCTGAACAGGGGGAGTTGTAAGGAAGAGCGCCAAAGCGAAAAACAGAAAGAAAACAAGAAAGACAAGAAAAACTGAATTCGTTTTTAATCTTCTTCCTTACAACTCCCCCTGTTAAGAACCTCTTGCGTACAAGGCCGCCCATGGGGATGTAGGTTGAGCGGCGGCTGCCCCCACCCCCGTGTGTCATATCGACCCAGTTGCACACAGCCAAAAGGCAAAGAGGCAAAGAAAAGAGGAAGGGAACAGCCAAATAATACAGAACAGGGGGCAACAAAACAGATCCCAGATGACAAGTCCCACATGCAAGCACCGCCCCTGCCCACAGGCCAAACGACGGGACAAGACCAACCAGGATGAATATTGATCAACCGATCGATAGATGGATTGGATCGAACGAATTCGACAGATGGATGGAATCAACAAATCCTCTTCTTGTTCTCCCATCTCCTGCCCTCTTCAACCACGTGTTCTTGCGCCCTGGGGCTTAGGGGTTTCTTTTCCGCTCCTGCTGCTCCCCCTTCCTGCTCCTCCTCGTCGTCATTGTCCTCATCACCGTGTCTCTGTTATCCTTTCTCTCTACATCTTCCCGCCGCTTCGCAGTCGGCCGTTGTCTGTCCTCTGCGCGAGCACACGCGCGCGCGCGCCTGAATCTTCCCCATCCCCCCCCTCTCCCCCCCCCCCCCCCCCCCCCCCCCCCCCCCCCCCCCCCCCCCCCCCCCCCCTTTCCAAAGCAGTGACTGCTGATATTCGTAGGGGTGGGGAACCGGAGGGGAGGCACATCGACTGGCGCATCGAAGAAGCTTGGTCCTGATGCTGCCGTCTGACCCTTGGCTGGTATTGCCCACCCCCAGGTCGGGTGCAGGCCCCACATGTTCCCTTGTTGGAGGCTTGAACTCGGGCTGGCTGCTACCGGGTTCCCCATAATACTATACAGTGTATACACTATAATGATTTAAACAAAACTTAAAAAAGGCCTGAAAGGCCAACCTGTCCAGATTTGACAGATACTTGAATTGGTTGGGCTTTTAAAAGAATAAGCCTTATTAAAAACAAAAAAAAAAAACCATCACTCTGTCAAGCTGCAAAACACAGAGAACAGCAGATTTCTGAGTCTGCAATTTGTCAGGTCATGACAGATGCAGAAGCTATCTCTGGCCTCGTTGCTATATGTCTAACAATAGAAGAGAGATCATTGGATACAGAAGCTATCGCTAGCCACGCTGCTATAGCTAGAAGATACATTGGTCACATGAGCTATATTTTGCATCATTGGGTGCTATAGCTAGAAGATAGATACATTGACCACAAGTGCTATATGTGGCTCTTTGGGTGCTATAGATAGCAGATACACTGGGTACGGAAGCTATCTTTGGCCTCGTTGCTATCGCTAGAAGATAGACTGGATATGGCCTCGTTGCTATAACTAGAAGATAGACTGGATATGACCTCGTCGCTATAGCTACAAGATAGACTGGATATGGCCTCGTTGCTATAGCTTGGCCAATGGCTATCTCTGGAATGGTATGCGAAATTGCAAATCTTAAACCACCAGTACATGGGCCGAGGCAACTGGAGAACCTGTTTTGAGCCTCTCCGAAGATTTAGGAGGCCGAACGCCGAAGACCAGATGAATCGGCGATGGGCGTCCTCCGAAAGGAGCCTGCCGCCAATAGTTGGCATGTACTGGTGCTTTAATGCAGCCGTGATCTTCTAGTCAGACTGCTAGCTCGCACCGCCTTAGGTATGTGTGCCACTGCTGCTGACCAGTACCTGGATGTTCTCTCTCTTTTGTGTTTGCTCTTTCTTTGTCAGTGTTCGATCTCGTTCGTTGACTCAGTGTTTGCTTGTCTTCTATTTAGTCCCCGAATTTTGTAAAGCGACACTGTAACTGGCGATATGCTCCTATGTTTTGCAGGTATTTAACGAAGAAAAGATAGACTGACGGGTTGTGGGCCCCCTGTGTTTTGCAGGTATGTAAGGAAGCAGACAGACTGACAGGTTCCTGTCCGAATCTCCTATGTTTTGCAGGTATATAAGGAAGCAGATATACTGACCGGTCGCTGGTGGAGAGCTGGCACGTGTCGGAGGAAGTGACACTCAAGATGGTGAGCGCTCGGCAACGGTTTGCGCGAAAGAGGTTTCAGCAATTGAAGGGGCTCTCACCGGTTGCAACCATAGTTAAGAAAGGGGTAACCAAGGACAGCGCAGCGGAGAATGGTTTGGAAAGCAAGGAGGGGAAGCTGTCGTTGAAGCAGCAGTTGAAGAGAAAGAAACTGGCGAAGCTCAAGAAGAAGGAAAAGCTTAAGAAAGAGCTGATGATGAAGAAGAAGCTGGGGATTGAAGAAAATCGAGGTGGAGCGAAGAAGAAGGAACTGAAGAAGAAGGAGGAAAGCGACAGCAAGAAGGGAAGGAAACACCCGCTGAGAGAGGCTGCGGCGAAGTACGGCTCGCGCTGTTTTCAATGCGGTGGGGAGGACCATGTGCGGAAAAATTGCCCAGAGAATGCAAAGGCGGTTCAGGACAAGGTGAGAGGTCGTTCTCTCTCTCTCTCTCTCCCTCTCTCTCTCTCTCCCTCTCTCTCTCTCTCTCTC